TTTCATGTTGGTAATACAAGTTAAGGATAACGACCTAAACCTGTATGGACCTTTTAAGGAAAAAAATATCTGATATAAACATGTATATAGAAATAGCCAATCAAAAATAACAAAACGAATTAGAAATTAACACCCGCACTCATTCACAGAGATCACCTCCAACTTTCCCAACTAAAAGACCTTCCGTCGTATCCCTGCAAAGACAGACTTGTCCAGACGAAGCAAAAGACACGTGTGTGAAGGAAAATACGATCCATTTAATTGCGGTAATTGTTTGGGCTGATTCTTTTACAGCATTTATTCTGATGTTTCTGAGGGTAGGAGTACTAACATTAATTGTAGTGCACATATTAGTTAAAGTATTGTTGTTTACATATGACAGAGAAATGTGTAGGGAAGCAGAGCTAAGTATGTAGTATGGCAAAGTGTGATATATACCAATTCAAGTAAATTGCAGTACAGTAGTGAAAAATCGCCCATATGGCCTTTTATGTGCTCTTTCTAGTACAAGGATAATCTTGGTTTCAATTGTGCTATGCCATGAGTGCCAGTTCTTTAAACGTGTACTGTCCATATATAATAGATTTAGTCTAAGGGAACTTGGTAGACAGATCCCAGACTGTAGAGTTACACATTCCCCGTGCAAAAATTATTTGGTCAAATTCTGTCCATGCAAATGTAGTGTCGGGTAACTTTCTGCATACTTAATTCTTTATTAAATTGTCTTCCGCACATAAAATTCTTTTGACATTTCTCAGCTCTTGTTTCATCATCTGTCTGCGCAAATGTAGACAAAATAATGTTTTCCGGCATGAAAAAATGCAATATTCCCCGCGCAAGAAAAATACTCTACAGTCTGGGACAGATCTTGACCCATTTAACTGGGGAAGGCATGGAATGTACCAGGGAATTATTGGCTTTGTTGCATCTTAGGGCCAGTTATTAGAACCCATGCAGTAATTATTGCAATTGTTGAACATTTGAAATTTGCTGAAAAACAAAATACTGATGCTCATATTCAGAGACATTTGGGACACTTTAAACAGAGCTGAATCGGTCTCTCATCCTTGACAGCCAGTCACTGCTGGACTGTCTCGATGATGATGATGATGATGATGATGATGATGATGATGCCAGCAGTGAGATGCCAGTCCATCTTTCCAGTTAAGTTATCCAAAGTGTCTCTGAATATGAGGATATATGGGCAACAAGAGGTGGATGCCTTTACATCAAATCAGGCACGTCACGCAGACCTGCCTGGGCTTTATTTTGTTATTCAATTTAAGTGAAGATTTTGCCTTCTTGGCAGGCTATTATGGTTCAGTAGTTCCCTGTAGTGTGTTTTTTATTTCTATTAATGATGACAAAAATACAAAATGCTGAATAGTCTAGGCCTAACCCTGCTGTCTTCTTGTTCATACCCCTCCGACCAAAATGCGTGTCCCCAAGCCTGTTGGCAAGCAGTTATATCTAACAGACATAATTATAAGGATCATTAGATTCACAGCAAAAAATATCTTGTAAAACTTATCCAGTAGAAAGGGAAAATTAATTGAAAATGCAACCTTACCATAGAATTTAAGATAAACCACAAAATGCATTTTCATTTTTTAATAGGCTTTAACCCTTGACTCTTCCTTTAGGAAGAGTCAAGTCAAGTAAAGTGCTCATATTCAGCAACACTTCACACATTTTAAGGGGTACTGGACCAGAGTTACCAGTATCTTATACCTGTTGGCTAATAACTGTCAAGCTGTCTCGTACCTCAGCAAGTCATTGTTGAACTGCATCGCATTACAGTCAGTCTGAGCCGTTCTGAAGTGTCTTTGAATTTGAGAGAATGTTCCTTATGAGCCAACAAGGTATTACCTATTGACTAGTATCCTGACAGTGTTATATCTAGCTGGAAGATTTGCCATATATTATTTTCTGTTTTTCAATTAAAAGCAGTCTAAACTGGGAAACCTTACCAAATGCTTCTATAAATATAATAATAATGAAAATTTGTAAATAAAAATCAAGAAATGGTAAACAAGGGAGGGCAGGTAAGCCTAGCAGTTGACTCCTTTACTAAACACTTATAGATCCACCAATGCGTAAATAAAATTGATAAAGGAAAATCACAGTCGACAGGTTTTATATATACATGTCCTCCTGGCATTAATACATTAAAACAGATAATTCCAGTATATTATTTTATTTTATTTGTTTATATTTTTTTCATCTGCATAATTTCTCAATAGCAGTTTCCCCTTCATATTATATATATATATATATATATATATTATATATATATATATATATTATTATATATATATATATATATATATATATATTATATATATTATATTATATATTATTATATGTATATATTATATATATATATTATATTATATATATATGTATATATGTATTATATATATATATATATATATATATATATATATATATGTATATATATATATATATATGTATATATATATATATATATATATATTATATATATATATATATATATAATATATATAATATATTCTCTCTCACTCTCACTTCCTCAACCCCTCTGCCTCCCTGCCTCCCTCCTCCTCCCTCCACCACCATTTCTAAATCATATTTGTATCCCTTGCCTTACAGATACCTTCTGCTTATCAATAATGGCTAGAAGTTCCAAAGGCAAAGCTGCTAAGAGAGTCAAGAAGGGCAGAATTCCACGTTATGCACCAAAACTCGAAAAACAGTTATTGTCAATTGTCAAAAAAAGCTGAGGAGAACAATGCTCTCCAAAAGTAGTCGGAAGAATTCCAAAAGGTTGGTAGCATTTATTAAGGTGTTTGTGTGGGCATATGCTTTTGCATATGCATGCTCTGGTTATTTAGAAGTCTCTTTGACTTTTTCAATATTATTTTGAATTGAAATTTATACATTTTATATTCTGGTGTGCATTTGCCAACACGTTTCATCTTTTTTACTTTATTTCAGTTGAACTTCTTGAGCCGAAGGAGGAGAAGAATGCAGAGGAGGCTGAAACCATGGACACAAACCAGCCAGAGGTTGAGGTTAAGGTTAAGGAGGAAGTAATGAGTGACACTGGAAGCATCATGGGCAATGACAAGAAGGGGATCTTCAGAAACTCTACACTGTCCGGCAGATGAGAAAGAGGAAATTAACAAAAACAAAGCTAAGAGGCTGAAGGTTGTTAACAATGCCACAAAATGTTTGGTGTATGTGAGCAAAAAGCAGAGAAGGTGAAGTGTATCTTCTCCATTTCGGGTTTACACATTCATACTTGTTACTCATAATTTCATGATGCTAGGTGTGTCTCATAGATAATCATATTCTTAGAATAAAATCATTAATATCTATTTCTTGTATGGTTTACCTTGGAGACTGGATTTATAGTCATACTATACATGTCTATTAACAAAACTGTGCAGGTAAATAATTTGTATGTGTCAAACATTACAAATGCAACCCCTGGGGAAGGCAGGAGAGTGAAACAAAAAAAAATCTTGTATTTGGCAATGTATTTCATCTTTTTTTATCTGCTTTCACTTCCATTTTCCTTCATAATATTTGGAACATGATCAAGGATGCTTTCCAAAAAGGTATAAAATAAAACATACAAATGATTTATATAATGTATATTAGTGATATTCAAAACCTAACTTGCATAATTGGTTCCTTCACTTCATGCTTAACTGGTGCAGTTTCTCATAACTTTATTTGTATTATTTGCAGTAGAGGAATACACAATTGTAACTGATGATGTTGGTTTTAAGCACATATAAGAAAATATGGAAGATCAAGTATCGTATGCATTCATTTGCCAGATAAAAAGTGAAAAGAAATATATATTGAGATTTATGACGTTCCATGTATAAAAAATTGCTAATATAAAACCTGTTGTAAACAGGTCAATATGTTCATTCTTGCTATTTTTGCCCATGAAAATAAAATGAGCAATAAATGATAATATATGTATTTATTCAAATGCTAATGAGAATTTTTTTAAAATCAAATGTCTTATCCTTTTAAATCTATTACAAATTTACATAAATGATACCTGAAGGATAGTTTAGTTCAACACGTTCTTTAAAGGTCTTGCTTATGGGCCAACCTTTTCATATGTAAAGTTGACCCAATTAAATCCTCAATGGATTGTTTTTTGGGTCTAGATTTCAAGGTGTAAAAAATACCTACGTAACAGCTGATGCGAGATTCTAATTGTCGTCGTCTACGGACAGCAACGATCCACCGTGTTACCACATTCACATAATCTTTGATACATACGGTAATTGTTGCAGTTGTAATTAATTCCTGCATCATGCACTGTATTTCCATTACTGGTAACCGGAGTTTTGTCTGTACAGTTGCAGTTTGGATACGGTCTATTTCTTTAAAGAATGGGAATGGTACATTTCTCCATTTCTTAGGATTATTCTCACTTTCCAAGATTTGCTAAACAGTCTGGTCCTGAACATCTCCATATCTCCAATGATGTACCATCTAGAACAGTCACCTTTCCAGTCTCTATCATCTTCGCAGGTTCCCCCTGTTGCCATGGGGCTTAGGAGACAGAGACTGGGGCCCAATGTGAGGGATCACCCCTACCTTGGACCTCAGCCCTTGCCTCAACTAATTTTGCATAGTCTTTTCTTCTTTATTTTCCCTTTCTTGATCCCCTTCTGTCTACATCCTAAAGTGTGGGATCCGTGCTGAAAGGATCATAGGCTGGCTTTGTGTCAGTCCTGAACGGCCTTCATACTCCATTGCTGTTCCCTCTTACAGCGCACTACAGCCTTTGACATCTAACATATTTTATCCTTA